TTTGATGACTGTCTTAAGGCTTAGGAAAATTTTGGTGAAGAGAGAGATTATTTAGTACTTGCTGCTTCAGTGAAGAATATGTACCTTTACTTCTTAGCATCTTAGCTTCTATAGTGTAAAAATCATAACAGCTTCATGTGTTCAAGCCTCCTGAGAGTTTGACTTCTCTGTACTAGAAGGGATGGAGCTCCTTGTCATATATAATAGGATTGGACTGGGTTTTTACTTGGGTGGTTATTGGAGCCCTGGGCACAAGCTGGTTCTGATCTTGTTAAAAAAATCATCACTACTCCTGATCCTAGAGGCAGAAACAGGTCTCTAGCCCTGGAAACTTGTTCTTCTCCATTTTATGATGACATGGAGGGTTTATACTTAATCTGAGCAAGCTTTTAGAAATGGAATCTTTTTCTGACGGCTTGCTTCTCCAGGGTCCTTTTCTGATGGTTCGCTTCTCTGTGTCTTTTGTAAGCATTTCCGCGGGGATTGCTATTCTCAGAGATTATGGGTGGACCTCTACAACATGACCCCATATGGAAAACAAAATGTTCTAGTGCACGGGCCTATAGCCAATGGTTAAACATGAAATATTACATTCTAACATGAAAAATAAAAGAATATATAATTACCAAAACTTTATAACTTTGAATTTTTCACTCAGTAGTCAGTAAGGAGCTGGCCCAGTCCACAGCTTGCTGTCAACAAGAATCTGGAACCTAGATCACCATCCTTAGGCAAAATTCCACCACTGAGAATTAGATGACAAAAAAGGGATAGTTGAGCCAGTAGGCAGTTCCACTGGAGTAGGAAACAACAAAGACTGAGACTAGTCACAGCCCCAGGGGTTTTACTTCTCTGATGATACTGTGAAGATTTTTCTTCCTACCATGTGATGTAATGAAAAGAAACTTTTGATTCAATTTTGCATATTATTTGACTGCAAGAAAGTAGTAACAGCAAGGAGTACCAAAATCAAATCTAAGAATTTACAGAGCAATGGCACAACTACTCAGTTTGTTATTTCAAAGTAACCAGAACACCAAAGAGATGCTGTCTGTGGAATTTTATGGCTGCAGAACTATGAGTCACTCTGTTCAAGTGAATAGTGAATATCTCCAACAAGGCACTCTTGCAATTAGATTTGGACTTCCTTTCTTCTTCAGTTGGAAGAGGAAGGAGAAAGAGCCTAGGGGTAGTAAGCTGGCTCATCCTATCAGTCTGGGACAGAGGATTTTGAACTGTGTGGTAGAACCCCAGGTAGTTCCTTAAGGATTATAGGAATGTGTAAAAGCCAGTAAGACAGGGAAAAGATATGTAGGTCTTATTTCATTATTTCAACCATAGCAATACTCCTTTGGTAGGTTTTACTTATTTGTTTAAAATGTCTCACATCTTTGTTTTAAAAACAAAATGAGAAAACTGTTGCCCTGGGGACACTATTAAAACCGACAGTGCTCTCCAGATTATGGAGAATCTCGGAATAGAATGACACAACTGCTGGGTAGGCAGCTGACATCCCATAGATTGGGACCTACATTAAACAGACTGGTTCTTCATGGGATGAGTGAAACTCTGCTATATGCCTGTCTCTGTGATGATCTTAACTTTTCCATGCCAGAAAATGCACATGTCTAAATGGAGAGCATATCTTTCCCAAGAGTTACAGCTGCAGCTAGGAGGAGAACAGGAACAGAAACAGGACAGTTACAGCTATGACTAGGAACAGAAACTGGCTGGAGTTGGTCTGCCATACAGATCTGTGGGCAGCACTAGAGTGAATGCCTGCTGGACTTCTGTGGCACAAAGGGCATGATATCCTCACTGGGCATCTGGCCAGGGGGCTGCAGAATGGATGGTCCTGGACAGAGGTCATTGAGAAGAAATAGATGTTCATGTGTGGGGCAGTGCAGTACAAGGTTAAATTGCTATAACCTTATCTGAAACAAAGAGGAGCTATCCATCTATCTGTCTTTACCCTAGGTCAACTCACAGGTAATAACTTGAGAAGGGAGAGCCCAAGAAAGCTGGGCATGGTGTTGAGTATTGAGCTGTTCACCAGAGAGGGCACATTAAATTCATAGGACTTTTGTTCTCCAAATCTGGAATTGTCAACTTCTGTGAATACTAGTGAGAAGGAAGGGTGGATGGCACATTCTAAATGTCTCACCCATTCCTGAACTTCTAGCCACAGCACTCATGGCCAGTCTTAGATATCAGTTGCTTGCCCTCTCAATCTCTGTTCAGCCTTACAAAGCTTAAAAAATGTATGCTGTACTCCAGGGAACGATATGCCTCAGCAACATATAAAGTTTGTTTTCTTATTCTAAGTGAAAATAGATATGTTACCACAACACTCTTGACAATTCAAGCATTAGCATAAGAGTATCTTGTCCTTATACCTTCACACCACCTCTCTCATAGTTTTGGTCAAACATTACCAGTTAAAGATAAATACTGCCTAGCCTTCTTCCCAGGGGCCTCAGGCCAACTCGGGGGTACTAGACACATCTCCATGATCCTGGGCAAAATAGTCTTCAGGATTACTATCCCTGAGCATTAAATCTGTGCTTTTTACCTCCCACCATCAGCACTGGCCTTCTTAGATCCAGAAACTAAAAGATATAATTAATCTAAGATAGAAGATATGGTGGTTATATCTCATGCATCAGCGTGTCCTGAGATACCGCACACCAGACAGATGTCCATTTTCTGTAAAGATAATGCTCAACAAGGAAAATGATGCTTGATTTGACTCCTCTTTGGAAACAGACCCCTGCTGTTTATCTCCCACTTCCCCACCTCTCTAGAAATTCCCCATTCAGAAGTTACTGCCTTCCACTGCTTCTCTCAGGCCACTGCTCTGAAACATATTTCTAAATATGATAGAACGTTTCTCTTCCTCTCAACTTTAAGCCTGAATAGGGGCTGTGCCCCCAATTTGAGGACCAAGAAGGAAGAGTGCAGTTGGTGAAGAAAGACTTGGCTAGTATACTGATTTACTCTAGTCTATAGTTTTTTTACATCTTAGAGTAGAAGAGCTCACAGCTTTCTGGATGACGTCTTTCTTTTTGGGGCCCAGCCTAGCACCATCAGTTCCCATTACTGAACAGTTGCAGTTTGGATCGTATTTGCCTCTCTTTATAAAACTCAGCGGGTTAGGAAGGCCAGGGGCTGCAGCTGAAAGTCAAGGCCTAGTAGGAGGGTCATTATTGAGGCACAAACACCCAGCAGCCTCTCTGTCTTGAACTTAGCCTGCTCTCCCCAAGGACTCCCTTCAGCTCCTCAGTGAGTGGGGTCATCAGTGCAGTCCTCTGGGGAAGGGGATTCCACGTAGGGGAAAGAAGAGACTGCTGTCTCTGTGGTGACTAGGGCCGGAACTCCCTTTGGGGAGTTTGATGGGTAGAGGGCGGAAGGAGTCAGCCAGCCAACTTAAGGGAGGGGATCCCCAGGGTCCCCATACCAGGGGAAGCTCCTTTATCATGATGGAGACAGGGCTGGGGGAGGTCAGGTGAGGTGGAGCAATTATTCCTCCAGCACCCTGGCTATTCGCCTGTTTTCCTCAGATGAAATTCTCTACATCATCCTCCCCAGTTTCAACCCCTCCCCTCTCCACCCCCGCCCCGCCCTGTGCCCATCCCTGCTGGCCACTGGGTCCATCGCCCAGGAGCCACCTCCCCTTTCTCCTCCCCTGCGGTTCTTTCTGTTTTTCGTTGGCATCTGGCCGGGCACAGCCACCACCCTCCCCCTTCACTCTCCCCACTTCCCTTTGCTCCACAGAGGTCCTGTTCCCTCTCCCCTTCCTCCATCCCAGCCTTCCTCCTCTTCCTACCGGGCGGAGGGGAAGAGGAGGGTGCATTCCTTTAGTCTCTTCACAGCTTGCCCTCCCTCCTCAGGGACCTGAGGCTCTGAGCTGTGGCCCCCTTCCGGGTTTCCCTACACGCTGCCCCTCTGCCATCCCACTAACCGTTAGTAGCCTTTAAGAAAGCTGAGGTGCCCCCACAGCGCTGACCTACATAGCCCAGCCCAGGGCGGGAGGGGCTCTTCCCCAAGTCCCCTCACCCCTGGCCCCTCCTCCTTTCTCTCCCCGATCTCCTCCTTCATGTCTCTACCATTAGGAACCTAAAAGGAGGTTTGAGTTCCAGACTGGGGCAAAGGGGCTAGGTATGCTATCCCACCCCAAATCTGGGAAAATCAGTGCTTAGCCCTGAAAAGCTTTGGGTTTCCCATGCGTCCTCCTCCCCAAATATCTTGATCCTTTCTTTTGCGCCCCCCCCCCCCCCCCCCCCCACCGCCTCTGCTCCTGTCTGGATTTCTTTTCCCAGCTTCTACCACTGTCAGGGATGTTGCCATCCTGGGCCCCCTCCGCCCTGTGTTGTTGTTTTGCTCCAAGGATAAGGGCCCCCTTCTTTGCCCACGCCCCCCTCAGCAGCCTCACCCAGGCCCCCTTCTCTGCCCACTCGGAGCTGGGCCTCGGGTCGTGGTGGGGGACGGGCGGGGGAGCAGAAATGTTTGCATACAGCAGTTTAGGGGATTGCACTGGCTACCCAACCCCTACAGACATACATACACAAACACCCGACACACGCCCTGACTGAAACAGCGACAAATCTCACTCCGCCCCCAACACACACCGACACAGACATACACACAGATACTGACACAGAAACGCAGAGCCAGACACCAACACAGACGCGCGCGCGCACGGACAGCAACACATCCAGACCTCGGGCTGCTCATAACGGACATCAGCCGCGAGAGCCAGACCCCGGTGCACACGCAGACACACGCTCGGTGGTGTACACAGAAGGGTGCACACGCCGGCACACCCACAGTCCACAGAGACACGGATGCTCAGAGACAGACACAAGGGTGTTCGCAGCGGCTGGCGACTTTAACCCCGCTTCCAGACAAAGCCAACAGGCTCCCTCCGCCAGACTCCAGATCCCGGCCCCCGCCCCGGGTCACTCCCCACCTCCCCGGGCGCCGCCCCCTCCCTCACTCACCGTCCTGGGAGAGGTTGGCCCCGCCGGGCGCCCAGCGGCAGGCGAACAGCAGGAGCAGGAGCGAGGCGGCTGGGCCCCCCATCGCGCTTCCCGGCCGGCTCCCTGGCTGGGCGCTGGCGAGCCTGAATCCCCGGGGGCTGGGGATGGGGAGGGGGTAGACTACGACGTTGACCGAAAGGGCGCCCCCGAGCCGCTTCGGAGCCCGGGGCCGAGGTGGGGACCAGGAGGGAGCCGGCGCTGCTGCAGTCGCGGGGATTAAATAGGGCGCTCGGAGCAAACCATCTGGTTGGAGGTGGAGGGGGGTTGGCAGGGGGCTGGGCTGGTCGCGGGGGTGCCAGGCTGCCGCATTCCCCACTCCCCCCGCCTCCCACACCCCCTCCTTGCCTTTCGTGGTGCCTTCCACCCTCTCCCCCCGGAGCTCCGCCAGCCAGGCTCGGGTGTGGATCAGAGGGAGGGAGCTGGCTCAGCAGTGGGACCCCGCGCTCACCGCTCTTAGGCTTGGGGTGGAGGGAGGGGAGTCCGACAGGGCCGTGGGCCAGCTGGCGAGCGCGGCCACTGCAGGCCTGGGCAAGGGCGTGCCCACTAGCCTGAGATCCTCCAGCTCCGCCCTCCATCCTTTGGCAACTGGGGATCCCCTTAACCCCGGGGTCCCCCATCAACAGTGTACCCAGGGACATCTCTCCAGTGGCTAACTACTAACTCTCAAGCCTTCTTCTAAACACTAACATCCCTAATTCCTCTTACCCAAGAGCCCATAGTTATGTGTCCAGCAAAAATTTGTGGCCCCAGGCCTTAAGCCATGGGGTCGCCCTATCAACAAGGTACCAGGGACATATCTCCAGTGGATAACTGCTGACTCTCATCATTCTCCTAAACACTAACATCCCTAATCCCTCTTACCCAAGAGCCCATAGTTATCTGTCCAGCAACAATTCGTGGCCCCAGGCAATCTCTCTTGAAAGGCATCTTCCAGCAAACCCCCAGGCCTTGGGAACCAATGTCTCCGTCAATCCCTTGTCAAGAAAATGACTCACCCTCTGAAAACATGATTTCACCCCAGACTCTTGCCCAATCTGGCAGCCTTCAAAGCAACTCAGTCGTTTTCTTTCTTAACCCTCCCTATTCCATCTCTTTATCGCCAGTCCTTTTCTCCAATATTTTTTCATCTTTCTTGATCTTTCGAGGGATCGTGCCCTTCTCAAGTTTCAGTTAGTAAGGTTCGTGAAGAGTCTGATCTAGAAACCCTCTAAGGACCCCTGCATCTGTGACCAAAGCAGTTCTCACTCGTGAGGCCACATGTAACAAGATGGAAAAGAGATACAGGGTGTTCGTACTTAGTCTTGTCTTAGGTGTCCCAAGCCCCTGGTGTTTGCCATTCTTTGTGACTATCTCTGAAAGTCTTGAACTATCTCATTCTGAATCAGTTTTGCTGAAACTTAGCTTTTGGAAATACATTTCTAAAGGTTAGAATTCCAAAATAAAATAATTTTAGGTATGTAAGAATTCTTTAAAAATATCTATTCCAACCCCTTAATGATATAGGTACAACTGAGGCTCAAAGGAGGCTAACTGAACAAGGTTACTCTGACAGTTAATAGTGGAAGACACAAGTGTTGGCTGGGATGTGCAACAATATGATTTTGAAGTGTCCTCCAATCCTGTGAGGCTAATATTTTATCCCTCTATGAGGGATTTGGTGGCATGTCTTCTACCTCTTAGACCAACTCTCCTTCTATGCTGATGACTGTCTCATTGAGCTAATCCTTAAGGTTTGGGTAATCTTTCCTTCTTGTAAGCAGAGTTTTTCAGCCCCCTGTGATCTAGTTAATGTCCCTGTCTCCCAGAAACTCAAGGGCAGGGATATGGAAAGTACTTGGTTACCAGCAAAGTCCTGTATAAATGACAAGCAATGATGGAGAAGTCAAGAGAGAATATTCTCCAGGGAAATCCTTCTGGATTGTCAGGATGCTGCCCCACAGTTTTTCTCTTACAGTTTAGTTAGAGTTGATGGTTTCTGGGAAAAGGGTTCTACCTGCCTCTTGGACATCTCTTGAGTGCCTGGGTAGTTAAGATTTTCTTGCAGGGAAGTGTTGACCATCTTTGGCTGTCTGACTTGCCGCGCTTGATGTATCTCAGTGACTCCACACCATTCTGTCTCTGTGCGGTTTGCAGATATCTTGGAATCTCCAAAATGTGAAAATAAAGGGGGTACTATATTTGAGGGGTGCAGAAACCTGGATATAAGAGAGAGAAGAAGTTGGGTTAGAGGGTGGGGAAGAGATATTGGGAAAATTGAACTTTCCCACAGAGGTGGGGCCGTGTTGGCATGAAGTGAGTTGTACAGAGAGCAGGCAGTAATGTGGGTGTTTTCAAAACAGAATCAGCTTCAGAGGGGAAAGATCAGGCAACCCTAGATAAAGTGTCTTAGTGGATAAAGAGTATTATCTTTCCAGCTAGAAGACATCTTAGAGAGCATCTAAGTGGGCTTAAGAGAGGACAGGTTAATGGAGGGGGAGGGGAGCAAGAGTGGGGATGGGTGGGATAGGGAGGGCAGGATGTAGGATTAGGTCTCATAGTCCTCTAATTAATCGCCTTTTCCATCTGCTGCTCCACAGTGATCCCCTTCCACCTGTCTTCCCTGAATTCTCTAATAACTACTGGTCTGGCCCTACCCTCTACTGTAACTGCATGGGACAAGCACCAAGGGTGACAGGTAAAAAGGAAAGCTATTTTGCAGAGAGTACTAAGAGGTAGCAAATGATACTCTGGAATGCTCTTTTTCTACTGGCTCCTCTTCTCCTTCTGCATCATCAGCATCAGTTTGGCAGCAGTTTAAGTCCTGGGAATAGGAAACAGTCACTGGCTTTTAGAATTATAGAATAAGAGAGTGTTAGAGGTGTACAGGACCTTCAAGAGTATCTAATTAATACCCTTGTTGAACAGATGAGGAAAATGAGACTCAGAAAAGCTAAACGACTTTCTGTGTTCATACAGCTAGCTGATAAAGGGGTTACCAGCACTGGGTGTGGGTGGGAGATAGTACCCTTGGAGGCAGGAAGGACGAGAAAAATCATTCACAAAATCTAGAACAGTGTCCAATTTGAGGAATTCCTCACTCTTGTGTATTTCAGAGTGAAAGAGTAGCTTCTCCTACTGATGTGGATATTCGCATTTGGAATAACTTCTTGCCTATAGTCATTCTAATGCCCTTTTTACATGTGCACTCTGTATCCTACAGGCACCCACCCTACTCACTAGGAATATAGTTTTACAAAGAAAGACTGACCTACAAGGATTAACCCCATCACGAAAATAGGTAAAATAAAAGTATCCATGTTGGATTGTGATCTCTATGGTTACTTTCCACTCTGAAATGCTGTGACATACAATATGCATTTCCCAGAGACGTGCACAAAGTCTGGAGTAGGTTGTCTGTGGAATTACAGAGCTGGTAGCTACAGTGAAAATCTGAGGAAGCAGGGAAGGGGAGTGGAGAGAAGACGGGTTTTGCCTCCTAGATGCTCCTGTCCTCTCAGCAACAGCCTGGGTCGCTGGGGGTGAGGAATGTCATGCTGGCACTGGTGCTGGGCTAGGCGCAGCTGTGTGGGCCCTGGGCATTCCTTTCCCCACGCCGCTCTTGTCCGGGAGGGAAAAGGGAAAGAACTCAGCCTGAGTGGGTGAATTTTACATATTCATCAGGGGGAAGATGACAGCACCTGTAGAGAAAAAAAAATTAAGAAGGCTTAATATCCACTCAGATTCTACTCTGTACTCTAACCCTTTTTTCTCCTCTGTATAAGTTTTCTGTATCAGTAAATTCTACATAGTTTTCCACATTGCTTTCCTCTTCAGTTTTCCACCCAGCTAAACCAGTACTCCTCATACTGCTTCTTACTCCCATTTTCCAGTTTTAATTAACACCAACTTTAATAATAACCCCTGTATGCATTACAACTGTCACCTTAATCGAATTATAATTTCAATCCTAACCCTAATCTATTATAGGCTCTGACTATTAATTCTAATACCAACCTGAATTTGATCGCCAATTTTAACTAGCATTTTGATTTTAACCAGTTTTAAACCAGCAATCAGGGCAGCAACTTGCACATAATAAAAATCATCCTAGGTACCTTTATTGAGAACCCATCAAGTACCAGATTTTGTGCTAGGTACTTTATGTACACAGTAGTTCACTTAAGTACTAGAGAGTACCCAAGTATGTCTGGAATTGTTAGCTCCCTTACCAAATCAAGGAAACAAAGGTTTAACAAGATTATGTAACTTGTAGATAGTGAATCCAAATCCAGGTCTGCTTGACCTGAAGGCTTGTGCTCACTCTTCTTTCTGCCAACAAATATTTTTTAATTGAACGTCTACTGAGATCTTAACTAATGGTGACTGGAATGACTTCTAAAAGACTGAGTTTCCTCAAAGCATATTATTATTTGTTTAGGTTTTTTTTTGTAATAGTGATACAAAATACCAAACCAACAAACAAACAAACAAAACTCCAAATCTCCCAGCCCAGAGATCCCACTGTTGCCTTAAGACAGTTAAAGTAATTTATTTACAAAGTCAAAATATTCAAACTATAAATAGAAACAAACTGAAAAGCCTCCTCTTTCCCAGAGTTGCCATATTGCACAACTCCAGGGGGCATTGTTCAAATTGGAGTCGTGCAAAGCAGCAGCACTGCCTCCCACGGCTTATCAGGAAAGCAGATAAAGTCAAGGTAAATATCTACCAAATTAAATCGCCCTATGTGTATGACTTAGGCATGAGAATTTCTAGACAAGGTAAATTTATAATTAGCAATGACTATTAAGGGTCGAATTCTATATTAAGTTCTTTACATTTATTCTCCATTTTAATATTCGCAAGCACGCTGGTCAGTATTCATTATTCCCGTTTTACAGATGAGGACAGTGAGGCTTGAAGAGGCAAAATGACTGGTTCAAGAGCACAAAGATGGTAAATGACAGACTTGGGTTTTAAATACAGATTGTCTTACTCCAAAGTCTAAATTTTCAGTCATTACACTTCACCAAGAAGGCTTCTCGGAGAAGAGGTCATTTGAGCTTGGTTCTGAAGGAAACATGGGAGTTTCATGACATTAGAAAAGAGAATGGCCTATGAGACTGCAGATGCACTCAGATAAATATGGGAGAAGACGGTCAAGGGGAAAGGGAGCTAGAAACGACTTCAGAGGGAAAGGAGTAAAATAAGGGAGTGAAACCAATGTGAGCAGAGACTAGAGAT